CATTCTTTTATCTTTCTGTTCATCAATTGGGCAATCTCTATTGATCTACCTTCAGTTTTGCAGATTCTTTCTGCTAGCTCAGATCTGCTTTTGAACCTCTCTAGTAAATTACCTATATCAATTATTGTACTTTTAAAACTCCAGATATTCTAATTGGCTCACATTTATAATACCAATCTACTGACTCATATTGTTTATCTTATGAGTAATGCAATTATGTTTTTAAAAATTCTTTAGATATGGTTTCTATTAGTGTTTTTTAATTAAAATTTTTTTTCTTTCTTTTATTTTTTCCCCCATCACCATTTATCCCTCCTATACCCTCTTCCTCTTCTACTCTACCCCCCCACCTCCCAATCATCACACTGTTGTTCATGTCCATGTGGTTTCTATTAGTTTTAAAAATGTATTTATAATACTTGTTTTGAAGTCCTTTTCAGCTAAATCCAGCATCTTAGCCCCCTCAGAGAGCGTTTCTATTGACACATTGTTTTCCCCCGTGTATACAGGCATACTTACAAGGCACACTTTCCTATTTCTTTGCATGCATTATTGAAAAATTGGCATTGCAGATCATATAGCAACTTTGGATTCTGTTCCCACCTTGTGGATGGTTGTGGTTGCTAGGTTGCTGTTGGTGTGTTTGTTAGTGACTTACCTGAACTGATTCTGTAGAGTATGTTTCTCCGCAGTGTGCATGTGACTGCCTAGACCTTGGAAGTCCATCCCCACATCCTTGTGACTTCCCTGCAATAGCAAGATGGCATCTGTCCATATCCCAACTAGAGAATATGGGCAGTTTTATGGAAAACGTGAAGCAAGAGAAAGGGATTCACTAAATTTGTATGTAGTGTCTTGGCAAACCTCTAAGAGATGCATGTATGAAAACGACCAGAACCAACACAAGCAAAAGGTTTGAGAGGTGAACTACAAGGCCGAGTACCAAACAGGTTTCAAAATTAGCCTGTGGGTAGCACACGAGTGAGGAGACCAGAATCACACTGCAAAGGCTTTGAAAGCTAAATTCATAGCTGAGCTACAGCCCCACTAACAGTAGGCCAGAGTGTACGTTACAAACCAACACAGGTTGATCACTTACTAAAATGGAAGATTTTTAAAAGAAGCATGTCATATAATACCCAAAATGTCTGAGATACAGTATAAAATAGCATAATTGCATTCTTTCTTGTAGACCCATAATTTTGCCTTGTTGCTGTTCCCAGCTAGAAATCTCCTCAGTAATTCCTGCTGCATAGATTCAGTTTTAATTTCTTATGATTCAGAAAGGCTCATGGGAGTGGAAGTCATAGCCTGCGGGTCACTTCTGTGTGTGCAGATATCCACAAAAAAAGAACACATTGTGGTTTACAACTAGTCCGCTGCAGAGCCTCCGGGCACCCTGGGGCAGGTGTAGAATTGTGCATGGTTGGCCAGCCCTGGGAGTGCAGTGTCCTGAGTGACTCATGAAGAATTATTCACACAGAGGGTGACCTTTTGTCCTGAGAAGATGGGTAGGATCCACTTTTTAGAAACACATGCCAAGGGTTAGGGGTAGGAATCTGGAGAGTGATCAATTTACCCTAGGTAAGAAATTTCTCCTGAGATGTCCACTTTTGCATGTAAACACAATTATCCTCCTTAGAAGTCGTATAAATGAACTTGAATATGCCTTCAGTTGCCTTGATCCTCTGTAATGAAAGGTAGGCATGGACATGGGATTAAGGAGTATGGAGGTGTTTTTATCAGCTCAAGCTACTATAATAAAATAGCATAAACTGGGTGGATTAAACAACAGGCATTTCTTTCTCACAGCTCTGCAAACTGGAAAGTCCAAAATCAAGGTGGCAGTAGATTTGGTATCTGGTGAATGCCCATTTCCTGGTTTGCAGACTGTTGCCTTGTTGCTGTGTACTCACACAAAGAGAGAAAGAGAAAGCAAGCTGTCTGGTCTCTTCTTAGAAGGCCTCTAATCCCATCATGTGCACCTACCCTTGTGACCTTCTAAACCTATTTACCTCCCAGAGTCCCCATCTTATTAAGATAATATCATATTAAGATATTATCATGTTTTCTCAAAAATTCATGGTAGGGTATTTATTACAAGGACACTAAAACGCAGACTTTTTTGGAATTTTCCAATCAGTGATCATAGTATAATCCCAGTTTATTTAGATCTTCTTGGTTTCTTTCAGTAAAATTTTATAGTATCCTGGATATAAGTCTTGCACATATTTTGCTAACATCTCCACCGTTTTATGGTTTTGATGCTATAATATACACAATTGATTTTTTAAAAAATTTTGTTACTATTTAACTGTAGACATTCTGATAGGTATGCAGTAGTATCTCGTGGGGTTTTAATTTGCATTTCTCCAATGCCTCATTAGTTGAGCATCTTATATATGATTATTTACCATATGCATAACTTCTTTGGCAAAGTAGTTGTTCAATTTTTGCCAATTTTGTACTTGATTGGTCATTCTCTGGTTGGAATTGGAGCGTTGTTTAGATATTCAGGATATAGTCCTTTATTAGATATATGATTTTCCCCCAATCCATGACTTGTTTTTCATTCTTTTAGCAGTGTCTTCCAAACAGGATAAAAGTGTTTTGTTTTTTTTAATTTAACTAAGTCCAATGTATCAATATTTTCTTTTTGTAGCCTTGGTGATTGTAGCTCAGGGTGTTTTGTGAGGCTGCAACCAAGAAGAAAATCAGAACTACAGTCGTCTCAAGACTCAACTCTCCTCCTGGCTAACTTACTTGGCTCTTGGCAGACTTTTTTTGCCTTGAAAGCCACTTCACCCACCTCATGACACGAGTACACTACATGTTTCCTTGTTTCTGCTCATGGCTATGTTCCTCTTCCCACCTCAATTCATACCGTGTATATTCAAGTTCAATTTCCCAGCATTTGAGAAGTCAGTCTAGAAGGAAAAGAACCCACAGCCTGAGGATTGCCACAATGTATCCAGATAAGCACAGGCAAGTTCTTAATGTGGTTAATTACTTAGTTCCAGAGGCTCAAGACATCCTGGGACAAACATAGAAGTAGGCACGTGCTTGGTCCTGGGAACATAATGTTCTAGTGACTTCATGAAAGAAAACGTGCACAGAAAAGGATCTTTCCTGGGCTTGTCGGTGGGGCCCAATATGGAAGTGTTTAGCAGAGTGAGAGGGCAAGTATTGAAGACTGATTAACTTACCCCAAATGAGGAATTTCTCACTGGGGATGCCCACTCTGGGATGCAAGCACAGTTATTCTCCTTAGCAGGCATATAAATGAACTCAAATACCCTTTAGTAGCCTGGATCCTCTGTAATGAGGATGGGAGAAGTATGTGAATCCAGGGTCTTACTATTTCACCAGGATTGACTGGACTCCAGAAACTCCATTCTTTTGGCCAGGGCTGTTTTTTAATGTATTTTGGTGGGAACATGGATGGGGGAAGGGTTGGTTTGTTTACCCGATGATGCTGATTCATGAAAAAGCCTATTCTCTCTGGCATGACAAGGGCCATGGAAGTTAGCACAGCACGCTGAGCGAAAGGGAGTCACAACTCAGGAAGCCCCTATTGTGAAGGGATGGAGGAGTGATCAGAGTCTATGTCTCCTAAGATCGCCCAGTGTAAAGAGGGCTCCTGCGGGCCACAGGGCTGCGGGGCGCCGCGCTGCTGGTCTTCGCGGCGGCCAAGGGGAGCGAGTGGGAAGCCAGAGACCAAGAGAGAGATGTGAGAGCGACACACTGGAGCAGAGAAAAGCTAAAGAACGACTGAGACACACAAAGATCTAGAGAAAGAGAGAGAAATAGAAAGAGCTGAAGGGCTAAGCAGGGAGGACACAGTGTCTAGACTGAGACACTGGAAGAGAGACAGAGACGAAGACGCGGAGAGACCCAGACACAGGGGCAGAAACAGACTCAGACGGGGAGTCGGAGGCAGACGTTCACAGCTCAGGAGGCGAGTCCGGAGCAGGCAGCGCATCCACGTCCGCCTCGCCTTCGCACGAAATCGGGACCCCGGCGGCCCTCCGGCGCGGCTCCGGTTAGCATCACATTCGGCCGCTGCGCCTCCTTTTATACTAATTCTTCCAGGGGGCGGGCCTCGGGGGGGGGCGGAGCCGTCTAGCCAATAGTGGTGCGCAGCGGCCGATGGGCATTTTCCTCAACCAACGCGACTCCGAAGGCTCTCAAGGCCACGCCCACATGCTACGCGGTTAGACTCCGCCTTCTAATGGCTGTAGGTCCGCCCACAGAGCCATGTTTTTGGAAGGAGGTTCAGCTCAGCCTTTTGCCCATCTGGGCAAGCCCTGATCAGCCGGCGCATGACCTTCGCAAACTCACTCCCCCGCGCCGAGAGGACGTTCACGGCTCACGCTTCCCTTCTTCCAGAGTCCGCGGCGCCCTAGCCCGGCCGAATACGGAGAGACTAATACTTCTTAGGCCCGCCTCCCGCTTTAGCAGCCGAGTTCCATAGGCCGGCCAGGTTGCGCACGGCACTCCCATTGGCAGGGGCGGCTGTCCGTCAAGCACTCGGTGTCGCCCAGGCTTCACCCTCATACCTCCGCCTTTCCTAGTGGATGACAGAGGATGCAGTCGCCTCACTTTGAGGAGAGCACGTCTATTGGTCGGGCGCGGGTACCTATATTATTTAGGCTGTGAACGTCCTCGAGTGAAAAGAGGACTTGGCTCGAGCCTTCGATTGGGTCGGGGAGATTGTCAGTCAAGGAACGGGCGAGCGCAATCGCAAGCCAACGCACAGTATTGGTAGAGAACGGGGCGGATGCGGCCGGAGGGAAGCCGGCTCTCCTCGATTGGGCCCTACGGGAGGCAGTGTTGCCGCCCGACTCCCGACTGGCTGACCGGGAGCCGCGCCCCCTCACGCCAACAGCCTGCGGTAGAAGCGGGCCCGGCTCGCCTGGGGTAGCGGCGGGAGCCGGTTGGGTGGAAAGGAGCGCACGGGGCGCTAGCTGGGCTCCCCACCAGACCCCACGTAGCTCAGGGAGTGGTGCGCTCCATCTCAACGGTGAGCGAAGGCCAGTGGGCGGCGGGAGAGAAGGGTCGGGCCCCGCGGGCACCCGTTTAGCTCCGCCGCCGCCAGTTCCGCCGCAGCGCCTTCGTACCCGGAAGTGTGGCGAGGCGGCCGTCGCACCCGGAAGTGGGCTGCTGCCGAGGCTGCGGGAAGTACTGGTACCCGGGCGGTTGAGATACCGGGTTAGAACAGGTGTTTATGTGTCTGTATCTCCTGAGGCCCGGTAGATCCTTCCTTTTTGGCAAGTGTCGGAGGATGCAAGTATTTGGTCGTCTTTGAAAATGCCTTCTCCTGTTGAAAACCAAGTGGGAAACGAGCCCTACGCGTGTGCACTGAGGGCTAAGCTCAGTGAAGGCTTTTAAGGAGTTTCTCTTGCTGACGGTCACCCTCCGCTCCCCTCCCGCACAGGGATGTGCAGATGGAGGCCGGAGGAGACGCTGCTGCCCCAGCCCCCGGGGACGCAGAGGACTTGGAGGCCACGCGGCTCCCCAGGGAGGAGGCTGGAGACGGCGGAGGGGTTCCCGGGGACCCCGCGGGTTCCGGAGACGAGGGCCTGGAGGAAACAGGTATGGCTTTTCCTCACCTGGGTCTCGGGAAGAATTTATAGGGGCTGTCCCTGCTGGGGGAGGCCAGTGAGGAACTAGTAAAGGGCCTTTCGGGTCCGACAGGGTTGCATGTGATCAGTAGGAGGTCATTGTTGACTCACACTGGGGTAAATCATCGAGGGGTGAAAAGGAAGTCAGCGGGCATCAGGGAGTGTTCGCTGGGGACCTGGAGTGAGTTTAGATGTGTGAGGTACCAAAAGGGAATTAGCTGGGCTCGAAGAAGGACATTGGGGATTTAGGATGTTTAGGTCAATGACTGACCAAAAGTAAGTTATTAGGGTCCAAGGTGGACTGTTTAGAAGTCAGTGTCTCTTGGGGCTAGAGGGTGCTATTTAAGTCACCGAGGTGGAGAAGAGGATCCATGGGCGCCAGTGGGCACTCAGAGAGTTTACATCATTGAGGAGACAAAGGCGAGCTGTTGGAGGGAGTCTTTTAAGGAACCAGATGTTAGTGGATGTTAATGGTGATTATTGGCGGGGAGGCAGTGGATGTCAGTTAGATTATTTGGAGAGTTAGAGGACCAGTAGAAAAGTCTTTGAAGACCCAAGTGGATGTGTAAATGTATTCTGTGGAAAATCAATAGGAGTCATTGAGGGCATTGCTCATTGACCACTTTGGGGAATAATTGGTCTCTGGGGACATAAAGGGTTCAATTATGACAATGAGAGATTGGATTATCAGGGTTTTAAGGGAATCATGTGGATGTAATTGAGTGGCAGAGGAGATACCTGGAGGTCTGTGTCAGCGTTAGGAGTGGTGGTGGTGGGGGGGGGG